GACGAATTAAACACAAATTATGAATCATATATAGTTGGTATTTTAATGGAGAACGAAGTGCATGGAGATCAGATAGTTTATTATTATACATTTATAAACGTATTCAGTTATTATACACACATTAAATAATCTATTATACTTTCTATTTAATTTTTTCTTATTTATTCAAATTATAAAAAAAAAATAATAATTTTAAAACTCACCTAAATATGATATCAATAGTTCATTAACTACTTTAGGTTGCTCTTGATGGGGAAAGTGCGATGCATTGTCAATTATTCTTACGGTAGATGTTTTAAGAAATTCTGTGGACTTGATAAAACTCGCAATTTGTACACTTGCATCATCACTACCGATGATGAGCAAACATGGAACTTGAAGCATGTCTTTTTCTTTATTTGAAGAATCRTTATTACTCCGAGGCTCGATTCTGTAGAACGGCAAATTTCTAAAATAATTTATAGCACCCGTCCAATCCACTAAAAAAAAAACAAGAACATTTCAATAAGCATTCAATAATGTCATTAATTGCATATTCATGGGCGCCCATAAGGTAATTTCAAGGGGAGCAGCAAAATAGAACTAGATTATGAAACCTATTATTCTATATAAACATAAATGTTTGACTCACTGATTAAGTAATAAGCATCAAKCAAAAGTCTATGGCATAATACTTTAATGTATAGTATTAAACATTTGAATTAAGTATATAGATTCAAAGCGTTTATAAGTTGTTTTGCATACCTTAGGAATTTATAAGGATACATGTCCTTCTTTTCTYTCCCCCAGTAGGTGTCCTCGAATTTTACTTAATAATAAGAAGGATTAAGGGGATGTTAGCAGCGCACTGTTTATTTTCTTTCTTTGGCCCACGCTCAATATAGATAAAATGCATTTATGCAAAATCATTTTTTTTTTTTATGTTTTTGAGTTGTATTAGAGTAATATCACCCATTCCAAAAACGATGGGGAATATATTGCTATATGTGTGACATATCGATTTGTCTAAATATTSTTTCAAAACAATTTAAACATGATTTAAATTAATTTTTTTTTTACTTTGTAAGTGTAATACAAAGTCGAACAATGATAAAATAAAAACCGATACGTTATACGCTCAAAAATATTATTCTCCATAATTTTTACAATAATTTATTTTATTTAAAAATCATAAAAACCGGTAAAAGTTGCAAAAATTTAAAAGGTAAGAGTGTTWTATTTTTRTCACGTTTGGRTTTCAGATTGAAAACAAATATTTCGCTGACATCACTAGAAGATTGAAACTAATAACCATCGTTATTATACTTATTTGTATTAAATTGTGATCACCTGTTCTTGAAAATGCATATTTATATGCCTCGATGTAAGATAAGTCATCGCTTTTCTTATTCTTAGATAGGTGTTGATAACACTGGTTGATTATTTTTAGATCACTTTGCAAAGCATCCATTTCCGGTAAATAAGGAAGTTGACTGAAGCAAATCCAACTATAATATAATTTAAAAAAATGTCTGGATAATAATCTTTATGTTTAATTACATTTCTATTTTTTTTATTTTCTTGAGTTTATTGGGATTTAAGGGAGTATTACGATTACTAATAAATAATAACCATCATCTACATAAAAATCTATTTCTGTAATGTGAAAATTTGTGTTTATATATTTATTCTAGTATAATAGTATATGCTAGGTACCTATTTTATTTATTGCATTTGTCTAGATAAAATCAAAATAGGTTCACATAGTATTGTTCATACTATATAAATAGTCGTGTAACCATTATACCGGACGTCTCATCTTATAGCCTATATTACACAGTTAAGATTCTGTCATACTGAAACAAGTTTATTATATGTGATTGTACTATTCTATTGCTAAAGAATTCATTTAGGAACTTAAATTTCTAAAGAATATTTACTGTTCCGTGTGGATTAACTTATAGATTACCAATAATCTAGAATAGATCAAATTCGAGATGMGCTTCCTTAAACTTTTTTAAATAGTTCCCTTAGTTGAGATTTCTTCGCAAGTAGGTGCTTATACAATAATACTCATACGACGCTATACACTTCACGATTGTGTGATATTTCTGGTATTCTTAGAAGAACTTACTTTTTATTAAAGAAACTTGACGAAGGTAAGTAATCCCAGTGGACATTAGGATGTGGACATGAAATGGCTACAAAATTTGACACAAATATTGGCCACAGATGCACCAGATACCAGCCCAATAGAGCACCCAAGTCGTGGCCGATTACGTGACATTTATTACGGCCATCCACTCCGAGCAGCGACAAAAACACGGCTAGCTCATTGACTAGATTTTCGACTCGATAACTTTTGCGTGCAGAAGGTTTATCAGAATCACCAAAACCKTTAAGATCTACAGCAATCACGCTAGAATACAAAAATACAGAATTAAAAATTAAAAATATAAAAAAAATATTGGTTTTCCTTTCATTTTGAACTTTGATTACTATAAAATATATATAAACACATTACATACATGATAAACAATATTGCCAATATTGC